ATAAATTAAGAATTGAAAAGTAGAATCTTTTTAAGTTATATTCACCAAGTATTTGATCAATTATCCGAATATAATTGTGTTAGACTTAAGTGTATAAATTATTCTTTATATTTAAATTAAATGTAATAGGTTGAGGTTTTTTTATATCTCTTTAATAAAATTCTTTTTTTTTTTTTTGTGAATTAAAAGGTAGTGTTAATTTTTTTTTTTATTAAGTCGTATAAACTAATGAATCGCTTGTCATTGGTTGGAAATTTCCTTTATTTGCTTGTGGTTAAAGAACTTGGAGAGTATGTTTTTGTTTCGTTAATTCATGCTGTGGTTCAATTTATGGAGTTTTAATCAATTTCTTTTCAATTTTGATAAGGTTTGTCATTTTTTTTGTTAAATGATACTTGATATTCATTATTAAAAGCAATGTTTTTGTACCCGGCCCGGTGGTTGACCCGTTTTGGCCACCGGGTCTGGTTCAACCGGTTGAACCAGTTCACCCGACCGGTTCAACCGGTTGACTAAAGACCTTTTTTTTTTTTTTCACATTTTTACACCCGAGGCAAAGGCAAATGCAAATGAAAATCTGTTCTGTCAATGGAAGAAGGGGAGGAAAGGCAGCAGTGAAAGGCTGAGATCCGGGGAGGTAGTTGGCCGCTGGTGACTTCGCTGCTCTGTTTTCGATTTACTTTCTGGTTGCTTCTGCACAGAGATGAAGGGCGTGCGTTCTGGTTTTGCTTTTGCAGAGACAAAGGACTGGAAGCCGCAGACGGAGGCCACGAGCGAGCAGCAGGTTCCTGATTTCTGGTTGAGATCCGAGAAGGCAGTTGTGGAGTCGTCGATGGCTGAGATTGGGGAGGCAGTTGGTCGTCGGTGGCTTCGCTGCTCTGTTTTCTTTCTGCTTTTTGGCTTTTCTGCACAGAGATGAAAGACTTGCTTTCTGGTTTTTCTTCTGCAGAGACAAAGGACCGAAAGCCGCAGACGGAGGCCACGAGCGAGCAGCAGGTTCGCGATTTTTGGCTGAGATCGGGTAGGGAAAAGTCGGCGATGGTGACTGGTGCGTGGTACTGGTGGTGGTCCGGTGGTGCTGTTCTTCCCCTGCTTTCTTTTGTTTTTAATTTCTCTTGGGTTTGCTTTTGCAATTTGTTGCGATTTTAATTTTTAATTAAAGTTAATGGTGTGGGTAATTAACTAATTATGTTAAAAATTAAATAAATTAATTTAATTAGTATTAACTCATTAAAAAGTAAAAACTCAAATTCATTTAGCCCGACGGGTTAGACGGGTTAGGCGGTTTCAACGGGTTGAGCGGGCACCAACGGGTAAAAACGGGTGAACTTGTACAACGGGTTAAGGTATTGGCTCGGCCCGTTTTTAAGCCTGGGTCCGGTTCAACCGATCGGGCCGGGCCAGGTCCAAAAACACTGATAAATTGTTAATAACAATGGGGATGAATTAACTTGTATCACAAAAAGTGTAGAACTTTTTTGAATTAGGACCAAGAGGGAAGCTCAAATATCTAACATACCTCTTGAAAACCTAAATTTAGATTTTTTTTTTTTTTTTTTAGGCTATAAAGAGTGAAGCTTGGAGAATAGCAAGCCTTTTATAATCCCTTAAGGCCTAATACACTTAACTATAGGCTACCATGACTTGGCAATCCATAGAGTCATCAATTAAAGCTTTGGGTTACACTAGGTTATTTTAATTAGGGCTTGGATGCTAATTAGACCTTCGCTTGCATGTTTTCGCTCCTAGACCAACTATTGGAATGGGTTACAAAGCATTGAATTTGTGTTCACTCACCATGGAATTAATCCTTTGTTGATTGACAAGAGTTCATTTTGGAAACTTCTAAACTAAACTAGGTTTAGTTTAAATCTTCTGACTCCTTTTTGGTTGGCATGTGAAACTTATGTGCACACTAAAACAAGCATGTTTTTATTTTGCTCAAGGAGATCCAATGATGAGAGCATGCTTATAAGCCTTAGGAGCAATTAATGACTGTTAAACTTTACTAAAACATAAACCAATCACTAGCAAAGACAATTGGCCTATCTACTAGTAAGTTTCACGCTATAAGGGTATGTTTTTGATTGGTGAATGTACTAGTTGCAAAATTGAGGGATCAAGTGATGAGAAGAAAATTTGTGGCATCTCAAGTAAAAATGGGATAAGAAATTGGAAGGTCACAATGTTGATGGTGGTGGTGAAGAGCAGGTGACATTGTGGAAAATTTTGGTGTTTCTAATATGGAGAGGAATTGGTGAGGATGAAGAAGGTTATATGTCAATAGAGAAACCGAATTTAGGACTTTTGGCCTTACAAAGATGTATATATATCCCCTGCTTGAAACAGAGCGTTGCATTTCAAGGATGCTATGTTTAAGTGAGTTGATTAGGTTGGTTAACTAGGTGTTGGGTTGTGTTTTCTATTGGCCCATGTTTTCTGTTGGGCCTTTTAAATGTGTTTAGGTAAGAGTTTTGTGGGTTTTGGGATTTGCTTTTCATGGGGTCAATTGCAATTGGATTAGTCCTTGAGTCAAGTCCATAAAACTTTTGCACCTTTTATATTTTGGTCCCTCTTTTCTTGTTGTATGTAATCAAGTCCAATTTCAGCTTTCCTTTTTTTTTTTTTTCAATTCGGCCCAAACCTTCTTCTATACATGAGTAAGTCCCTAAAATACAAAAATAAAAATGATCAACTAATTTATTTATATTTTTTAGTTTTAAAATTTATTCTTCATGTATATGAAAATTTTTACATAAAAATTTTAATTATGACACATGTATGTAGCGCCTGATAAATGTTAGTGGATTGTACTTCTAGGCCAAGTCCAAACTAGGCTATTAGCCTTAGGGTGAACGGAGTTGGCAAGTTAGTAGAGCTATTAGACATAAGTGGAGCTCTTATGTGGAGTTGTTAAGGCTAACCAGATCTTAGGCCTTATCACAAGAGTGGTGATCTTAGGTCTTATTACAAAAGCAATTCGAATCTTGTGTCAACATCAAGTTACACAAATAAAAAAAAATAAAAACTTATTTACCTTTTTTTTGGGGGGAGCTAATTAGCTGCAATGTGCTTGTCTCGAGTTTGTTAAATGATGAATTTTGGAGTTAGTTAGAAGTCCTAGACCATGACTTGTCTCGTTGATTAAATGAGCTTAACTTTAGCAGTGCTTTGCATTAGGGTGAATAGGTACAAGAATGTGCTAGGTATTTATTCATATTTGTATTTAATTTAAATAGTCACATATTTAAAGTTTTAATATTCAATATTTAGGTATTAAAAATTTATATCTATTATTGGATATAAATATACATACACCAGTTAAATATCATAACATTTGATAGCAATTAAAATGTAATTAAACTTATTTCAAAATACATTGTTCAATTCATACATAGTACATATATAAAAAAAAAATACATGAGCTCAAACTTAAAACAAAATAGATAAGTTGAAACACAAATATAATTTTATACATATAACAAAATATGTAAATTTATATACTTACACATATACAAGTTTATATATATAACAAAATACATACAAATACAACTCTATAAAATCTTCCTTCGAATGAGTCTTCCTTACATTAAAGGGAAAAAAAAAAAAAAACTAAGCATTCTAGTTTCATGATATTATATTGCAAAATTAAATATAGAACTACAATATGATCATTATATTGCAAAAATTCTAATATAGTTAAGAAATTTCTATGCAAATTGCAATGATATTTTTACACAATTAATAAAATATTTTAGTTTCACGAGCAAAAATATTAACTTTCTTAAAAATTAAGATTCAACAAAATCTCCTTACTCTTGACAGGTAGAAGCAAAATCATTTCCATAAGTTGACACAAGAACAAAAGTAACTAATGTATTAATAGTGGATTCAAAAACTTCTCAAAAACATTACTAATGATGAAATTAAAAATTATACATATAAGTATGGGTTAAGTATATAGGTCAAATATGTAGGTATAAATAACATATATGCATTTTTCATACTCAATATTTAACCATTTCTTTTTGGTACAAGTAAAAAATTTACCCAAACAAATCAAATACCTAAAAATATCAAATAAACCAATATCCAATGCTTAGCCCTAAATTAGGGGTGAGTATTGGATACAAGTACACCCATTACTTGTAAGTACCTTATCCAATTGAGTAAATACTATACCTAAATTGTAGAAAAAATAGGTAAATAATGGATATGAAATAGCATATCTGTAAGTATCAAATCAAATAATAAATAAAAAGGTTTAAAACTATTTACCTGACCTATTTAACTGACTTATTTAACTTATTTGTTACCTATACTTATATAATTGAAATTATATATATATATTTAATATTTATAATAAAAATAATTTTTAAAATTAAAAGTAATAAATACAAAAAAATAAAAATAAAAGTGGAGTAGAAGCTAAACAAATAACACACACAACAATAATGACTCATACAAATAGTAAACCCTAAACCAAACACATAACATAGGTAACAATAATATATTAAGACTTTTTTTTCCTAATCCAAATAGGTGAGTATATGCAGGTAAGTTACTTGATGCATGTTGGATTAGGTCCCAAGTATAGGCCTTAAAGTATTTAGGTATGTATCAAGTATAAAAAGTTGTATTAAAATATATATATATATTTTTTGACCAAGTAGATGGTTAGAAAATTAGTAGAGTTAATTTGTTAGCAATTAGAATTTTTTCAGTAACGTTGAGGGGCACGACCATTAGGTCGCAAGTTGATAGAGTTCACGGCGGTGGCAGAGCTCGAAGCCTTGACCTCCGCCTCACCCAAGCCCTAAAGCTTGGGGCTAACCAATTGGGGCACAGGCCCCGGTTGGCGTTGTATTAAAAAATTTGAAAAAAAAAAAAAAAAATAAAACATATATAAAATATAAAAAAAAAAAAAAAAATAAAACACATACGAGAGATACACCAAAAAAAAAAAGCGCACACCCAGAACAAAAAAAAAAAACACAGAAAAACAGAGCGCAGAAAAAAAACCGGAAAAAGCACAAAAAAAAACAAAACGAGAAAATCAAAAAGCACAGAGAAAACTCTCTATACCCCCGCCAAAACGTTCTCCGCCTACACAGCCCCCGCCTAGAGATAAAAACCCTCCCCTCCAAAAAAAACACACAGACCCTGAAAAAAGATCCACAGCTCCACACTGTGCGCCACACAGATGCAAAACACCAAAAAAACAACACAGACCCACAACAAAAACACCTCACATAGACACACCCGCACAGCCCCCTCCCACACGCCCACAACAGCTCCTCTTTGACACTGAGAGGGTGCTCGTGGAGACACAGAAAAAGAGCCACAGAGGGTCACACAAAAACACACTCAAAAAAAAAAAACCCCTCTTTGGGGTTCAAAAATGAAAATTATATTTTTTGCAAAACTTTCTACACACACAAAATCTTTGAGAGTCCCACAAAAAAAAGGGGGTGACACCGGAAAAGGAGATCTATAGGGAGATGCGCAAAAAAGCAGAGGGGAAAAAAAAAGAAAATGTGTGGTGTGTATAGAGAACAGAGAGAGAGGCAAAAATCTCCAAAACCAAAAACAAAAAATCTATAAAACAAAAAAAAAAGGGGTACAAAAACAAAAAAAAAAAATTTTTTTTTTTTTTTTTGCAGGATGACAGCTTACTTTAACAAAACAGGTTGGCCAGAAAATGCTCCCAAGACTGAACAGGAAAGAAAGGAATTCATTGCTTCACTTCACAAGCGAAAGACGGAGTTGTTCATGTCCCTTATTCAGAAGAAACTGCTACCACTTCGTCCGGGTGTTGCTAAGTCTGTAACTGTCTTATCTTCTGCTGCTTTTACTACTTTATTGCTGTTGTTTACACAAAAATTAATTACTTTGGATTGTCTTCGAAACTCAAAACTTTTAGGTGATGGTAAATGCATAACATGGAACCTGGATATCCAATACTGTGTTATCAGTTTACTACTGCCTTTCATTTTGTTTTTTATGCTGACAAACAGGTAGGAAATCCATAAGTAGAAATTTCAGTGAAGGACTTCGCTTTGGTAGAGCTCAGTTATTTTAATATACATATCTTGCAAATGAAAGAAAGAAAAGTATTTACGGAGATTAAAAGTTAAAGATATATGTGATTAAATATTTAATTTCCAGAATATGAATATGAATAAGTTCTAATTCTTTGGCAATATATTTAAATATGTTACACTTCAGAATTTTTTATTTTTCCTTTTTTTTTTTTGGGTCTTTTTGCATTAAACAGGCTGATTGATCAAGCTTTGGCAAACAAGGTGGAAGTTGCTGTGTGCAGCACGTCAAATGAGAAGGCGGTATGCTAATCAGGTCCTACAACTGTAATTGAATATATGAAGGGAGAATCTGAAGCAGATAGATAACTTATATTAACTTCATTATTCTTGGATTCCCAGTCTTACATAGCACAGTTTTGAAGGATATTTTTTAATATTTTTAAAATTTTTGCACCATAATTCCCTCACTCAGTTCTATACCCTTAAATTTTTGTAATTGCTCTGATCAATAGACAATAGTATATTAAAGATTATGAAATCTTTTCAGTGCAGTTTTGTTTGTTTAGTATCAAATAGCATACCAGCTTTCTGTCATCTTTGCATCTTGATCAGTACTAAACTAGATACACTAATTTTAGGTTGCAGCAATTGTTTCATGCTTGTTGGGACCTGAGAGAGCAAGTAAGATAAAGATATTTGCCGGAGATGTGGTTCCCCGCAAAAAGCCTGATCCAGTAATTATATCATCCCTCTTAATTGGCATATTGGCTTCTATTTTAAATCATTGATTGTTGTGTAATCGTCATACAACAAGGCCTAAGTCTGACTGCATGCTCTCATTTTGTTTATTTATTTTTATTTCTGTAGTCTCCTACTGTCATCTACTATTAATATGGTTCAAGGTCGTTCATATGTGGTCTGGAACTAAAGTATATCTAATTTTTGACAGGCCATCTACATGTTAGCAGCTAACACTCTTGCTGTTGATCCTTCAAGGTGCTGCATGATAACAAGACATGAAAATTGTTTTGTTTTTCATGTGATGATAGTCAGTCAATTAACAAAACTTTTCTTATGTATTTTTATGTACTTGGATTGGGTGATGCAGCGAACAAACTCTTCCTAACTTCTTGTCTTGTGGCTTTGCATACAATATTTCTATTCTCATCTTTTAATCAATACAAAATGTTTATAGATACTTAGATTAATTTGTTTCCTTAATTTCCTACAGATGTGTCGTGGTTGAGGACAGTGCCATAGGACTTGCAGCTGCTAAAGCTGCTGGAATGAAGTGTATAGTGACAAAGAGCGGGTAATAAACTTTTCTTTTCCCAAATAAATCAAAAGTATTCTTCCCTACTTGATGTCTTTTGTTGGGCTCTTTAGTCCTTATATATCTATTAACTGATATCATAAAATGCACTAGCAAATCTGGCATCTTTATAACTCTGTTGTATATATTTCAAACATAATTATCAGAACATAAAAGATAATTATAATAGGTAGCTAAAACTGCAAGGTTCTCCTATGTTCTGTGTTCATACTTGGAACATAAAATCTAGTGCTGGTGGTAAGAGTGTTTGCACTTTGTAGGTAGATTTCCAATCTCTATTTTTTTGCCCTTAATCTGAAGAGTGAGTCCAACCACTGAAGAGTGTGTTGTTGCCTTTACATGAGAAATCTTATCTCCTTCGTTTCCTTTTTGTCACTCTTTTCTTCCGACTTTACCCTCAACTAACTATTGAAAACAATTTCTTCTCATGGAAAGACCATGGAGATGCCTTTACATCTTTGTATCGTTCGGAAGTTTCTCCCTTTCTGGCATTAATTGCAATTAAACTCTGGTTTATTGCAGCTATACAGCTGATGAAGACTTCCTAAATGCTGATGCTGTCTTTGACTGCATTGGAGATCCTCCGGAAGAGCGATTTGACTTGGCTTTCTGCGGAAGCCTTCTTGAGAAGCAGTATGTTGGTTGAACAATACCATTAATAACAAGTATAGGAATTCCTCCAATAGGTGTACTTTGCAACTAATAGCTTTTTTGGTTTGAAGGGAGGGGAGGAGAGTGGAGGGAATAGGAAGGTGGAGAAATTTTCTATTTGGATGACAAAAAATTAGAGGGAAGAGGAGAGGAGGGGCTTTTCCTTATTTTACTTTAATTTCCTTTACATTTTAATCTAACCAAATGAGAGGAAAAAATTGTCCCCTTGTTTTCTTCTAACCAAACAAGGGGTAAAATTAATTTTTGCCTGAACTAAACCAAGAACTTGATCCTTTATCATGGGTGTGATTATGGCCACTCTTATTTTTTTAAATTTACCTAAAAGTTATTTAGTTTAATTAATATTTTATTTGTTTGTAATTTTTTCTCTAAATAATTAGTTATAATGTTATTAGTTTATAAATTGATTTTAATATGTTAAATAATAAATATTAGTTGTTTTATCAATTAATTATTTTTAATCATCAAACTAAAAAAATTGGGTAACCTTAATAGAAATAATAATTGGTCATAACCACATTCCTTTATCCTAATACTTTGTTTATTTCAATTAGGCAGAGTGAATGACAAAAGCTAACTTAGGCCAAATAGCTCGTTTCGGCCAAGTAGCATTAGACTTGGGTTAGAACCGTTCACCTTTTATGAATTGGGTATTCGAGTATCACGAAGTCCCTTTCTTCATTCTCTTAATTAATATGTAAATAATTGCAATATTTTCAAAAAAAAAAAGAAGAAAAAAGCAAACTTAGGCCAATCATGGTTATTATTACGCTAAATTTTGTTAAAACCATACAAGGAAAATGATTTTTGTATAATCTTTTTTATCTCACGTTTTTGTATAACTTAACATGTCATTTAAATGATTAGTTTTTTTAATTTACGTGAAACCTGTGATATTAAATGTATCAACTTATTTAATTACATGTGAAAGTCATATAAAAAGGCCATATAAAAAAGTCAAATAAAAAAATTGTTCCTATAGTATCATCCTTTTGTTGAAACCACACAAGATATGCCTTTGATTCGCCTGATTTCATTAATTTATAACTATATAAGAACACCAACTTGTAAGCTATTAAACAATAGATACCAGTTAATGGTTATAACTATTAATTATTTCTCAATTATTAGTGTTTTTAAAGATAGTATATATATATATAATAATATTTATCTGTGTTATCTTTTAAAAATTAAAAAAAAATATTATTTTAAAACTACATCATTTTAATAAACACATATTGAAAAAAACAAAAATATCCTATTTTTAAAGCATGAAGTAATGTGTTTTTTGTTTTTTTTTCTCTTAATTTTTTAGAAATAAGATAGACAAATAATAACCCCATGTATATATATATATTTTGATGTTTTTAAAGACGATATTAATAAAACTTATGTGAGCTAATTTAGTGTGGCCATAACCTTGCCCACGCAAGCTGGCAGTTTCTAACATAGATGACAGTATTTTACAGTCGAAAACAATGACTTCTCTTATTTCTCAATGAAATCATACATATACACCACCCTAAGAATTTTAGGGATGGAGATAGCTACCTATATCTACTTCAGTGAATGTCCATCTTGAATGAAAAAACATTAAGACAAGCCTACACACAGTCTGGATATGGCCATGGTTTTAATCATGTTAGATTTGGCTGCATCCAGCAATGGATCTGCTAGGAGAGCCTTGTCAAAGCAGAACTTAGCTTCCTCCCACTGTCCCTCAGCAACAAATACAAGGCCCAGATTATTAAATGCAGGAGCATAACCAGGTCTTAGTTCAAGTGATTTAGTAAACATTGCCTTGGCTCGGTCATATTGTTTTTGCTGCCTGTATAAATTACCAATGTTGGAAAATATTGCATGTGCCTGTTCCGTTTTAGCCAATGCCAATGCTCGCTTGTAAATGTGTTCAGCTTGAGATGCCTCCTCTGATAATTGCAGTGAGATACCTAGGAACATATTTTTACAACTCTAAATCAATCCTCCATTTATTTTTATTCTCCCCTGCCCCCCAACCCCACTGAAAATAAAAATTATATTATGAAAATGCACACACCTAGATTAGACCATGCATAGCTACAGTCTTTGGATCGTAGAACCGCAGCCTTGAGGTACTTTTGTGCCATTTTAAATTGTTGTGAACAAAGAGTATGAAGGCCAAGCTGGTTCCACTGCACGGAATCATCTGGGTCCTCAGCTATTGCCTGATAAAGACAATTGGTAAAACATGAGAAGGAACTGTTACAATTCATCTGTTCAGAAGAAGTAGGAAGTGATCATGTAGTCCTTAGACCCATTGAGTACATCACAAGGCTTCTATCCATGCAGACAAATCAAGAAGGCATTTTCATTCATGCAAGTCAGAGTTTTCACAAAGACTGTTGAAATATACTTATGCTAGATCATGAAATGGACAGATATTATGGCACCCAGATATTGAAAAGGATCATTAATGGTAGAAGTTGAAACAAGTAAATGAACATGAAGCAACTCCTATAATTATCTCAACTATCAGTAAGGACATTTCAAGAAATTTTGTGCAACAGTTGCTCGAAAAAGAAAAGTACCAGCTTCAAACTGAATATAGCACGCTCTTCTACCTCCACTATCTCCTTCCGTTCTGTATCAAATGCAGCCAGAATCTCATGCTGAGCCTTGTGAACCATCGCAAATCCTGCCCATCCAATAGGACGTTCAATTGGAACAGACTCTCCATCTCTAAGTACTGAAGCCATTTCATTGCCTGCCCAGGAAAGCTGTTCACTAGGATCTTGAGACCTCTCAACATCTTTGATTCTATGCACTGCGACAGCATACCGAGTAGACATGCAATTTGGCTCCAGTTTTGCAGCCTGATTAGTAACAAACATGACAAGCATTCAATAATAAATAATGGGAAAGGACTGGAGAAAATATTCACATGAAAGGCCTGTATTGCTAATTAAAATGCTGAAGAAATGAAATTGGATCCCTCGTAATTCACATTCAGAAAGAAAATTCTTCAATCTTTATACTAAAAGATCAAGGACACCAACAGTGTTGTAAAATTTAAGATTAGTTGGCAGACTAGCCACAGCTAGGTGGAAGGCAGTGGGGTAGTGCACTGCCTTGCCCACTTTTCCGCACAGTTTGGCAGCAGTTGGCCAAGACCAGTTGCCTACTCTTAGATCTACAACAAAATTGTGCTATGATCCAAGAATCATCACCAGAAACTTCCTCAGCTAACCCTGGCAAGCCTGTCTGCAGGAGTTGCCAGAATAGTGATGGGAAGTGCCCTCAAGTGCTGGCGCTCTGAAGGTTACCTGCCAAGAATCCCTGACGCAGATTCCAAAGTTTGAAGAAGGGCCACATCACTTAAACGACAGTGTGTTTGGACCCTATTTTTGGCATTTTAGTCCTTCAAGTTCTGTAAAATCTGTAGTGCAAACCTTAAAATTTCAATCTGGTGCATTTTTTTTTTTTCATTTTCTGATATTTTTGACATTTTTTCGAAATAAGAAATTAAAAAAAAAAAAAAAGGCAAAATGCCCAATCGCAATGTCACATCTGGGCACTGAGCAGTGGGTCACCGCCCACTGACTTCTGCAACCTTGGACACCAATAAACAAATAAGCTATAATAATTGACTATAAAAGAGAGTCATGAGCACCTTCTCCAAACACCTTCCGGAACTGCGGTGGTCACCAATCATATAATATGCATTAGCTAGATTTGCCCATGTATGCGCTGCTTTTGGATCTGCTTTTAGTGAAGCTAACAGACACTCCTTTGCAACACTGACAGCATCAACCTGATCTGCAGAAGCTTCTTCACTGGCATTTGCCCCAGCACCTATGAAGATTATAAGATGGAGTTCCACTTATTTTCTTTACACAGGCTCAAACTATAAATGACACAAAGCAACAATCAAGAGAAATATAGTAATACCCAATATCATCTTCAAGACACTTCCTAAAGAGCAATGTTAGCATTAATGGGAAAATCCCAGATCCATTAATTAAGGAAAAACTTATGGATTTAGATATAATATAGGCCACTCTACACCTACTGCCAATTGGTTTTAGGTTATATGCCCTTTCTCAAGGTATATGAGCCCACATGAGGGGACCATACTACTGATACTGGACACAAGAGGGCTTGTTTAAGTGAGAAAATTCCACCTAGATCAATTAAGGGAAAAACTTGTGGACTTAAATATAAAATGTGTGGCTACACCAATTATCCATTGGTTTTATGTTGGGCTTTCTTAGTTACAAAGAGATTAAAAGAGTTTTGAGCATGAATGCAAACTCATCAAAAAGCTACAAAAAGCTACCTGCAACAACTGAACCATGTTGACACAGCAGAAGAGCAGCATAATTCATGAAAGCAGCAGGGTGGTTTTGATCTTTCAGGATCAAATCTTGAATACATTTTGTTGATAACTCCAAATTCCCACTGGTAAATAAATCAAGTATCAAGAGTTCCAATGTAAGAGAAACAAAATGGGCAAGCTAACATAAATAACGCATCAAAGAAATATTTTAAAAACAGACTGTCACAAAAAAAATTGTCATTTGTATGACTGCTAAAGAGTAATCATGTAAGTAAATCAAAATCAAAGAAGCATAGTAACAAGCTATAGCCCATGATGTTTTAGACCAACCTACAATAAATGGAAGATGAAATGTGAGGAACCTGAACATGTCAAAAACAAGAAGCACCTTTTTGCTGCAATATCCAGAGATGCACTCCTGCACACCTTGTCATTCAGACTTCTTCATGATTGTATCAATTCCAGTATAGATGAAGGTCTTATTTCCTAAAATTATTGCAATTTTTACACAATATTTTGCTATGATTGTTCGTAACTATTGCTAACACTGGAAATGAGTTGAGCACCAGACTCCTCAACCACCACCGACCAAGACAGAAGGTATCATAAACACTTTAAAATACACATGTAGTTTTCTACAACATTAGCATTAGTAATGGAATACAACCCATTATGCCTTGATATTTCTTTCTCTTAAACTTAGTATTTTGCATCTTACAATAGCTTTTGCACAGCATTGCTCAAAGTTCTATAAATCATGATTAGATAATTTAGCAAAAATATAAATAGATAAATAAATAAAACAAACATGGAAAACAAGTGCTTTGCATAAATGCAAGAACTTTGAGAACACCGTACGCTTGTAGGTAAGCGACGCCGAGGTTTGCCAAGCAATCATAATTGTTTGGGGCTAGTTCCAGTAGAGATGATAAAACGGAAATAGCACTCTGCATTGCAAAATTAAACTTCAAATCAAATCTAGCAATGATAAAATACTTTTTCAAACAGCATGAAATCACATTGATACCTGCAAACGACCAGTTTTAAGAAGCATTAAGCCCAGAGAATTCCAAACAGCTACTTGTCTAATATCTGATTCCATTGAATCCTTTAGTTTGGAAAGAATTTCTTCAAGCTCTTCAGTTTCAAGTTCCTTATCTGATGTATTATCCCCCAAACTTTCTTGAAGAATGCACTAAATGATTGATAAGAAGAATTACTCTTTTGCATAGAAATTGACAGGAAAGAGACAGAAAAAAAATTCCAAATAACAGAAAAAAAATTCCAAATAACACAAATAATAATAATAATAATAATAATAATAATAATAACAATAATAATAATAATAAGATACAAATGTTATTCTACCAGTGCATGGTGAATTTGAACTAATGAAAGCAATTCTGGCCGTGCAATCTCTGCCTCACAGCCAAGCAAGATCTCTGCAGCTTTCTCATATGCTGAAATTGCCTTCAGGAAGAAAAAATAAATTACATTAGAAGAATGCATATTCCACAAGATAAAGAGTTAAATGCTCCAAAAGCTACCTTCTGAGGTTGACACAATCTTTGATACATCAGGCCAAGCATAAAATGTGCATGAGCATTCTTGGGCATCTTCCTCGCCACATGTACCAAACCCTGTGAAAATATTTAGAAATCCCAAACAGGGCAATTAAAATTCTTCTATAAAAATTCAAGAATTTGGAAGTTAAACAAAGAAATCACAAAGGAAAACACTGTAGACAGAAGTATCATATTATTCAAGAAATATAGATGAAAAGTGTTAGAAACAAATAATCTACATACTGCCATCTTAAATATCTGATCATAAGTAAGGAGGATATGTGAGCCTTGATGAACTTTTTGCACCCTCTTTTCAGAATAGGTGTAGGAAAAGATTATATTGTAAAATGTGAGACAACAGAAACAACATGGCAGTTTTCATGTCTGTGGTAACTGATTGGAAGTAGTCTTCAAAGAAGATGGGATAAATGAGTGATAAAAAGCTTTTCATGGACACGAAACTACAAGTAGCACCAACCATTAAAAAGAAAAAGTTCCATGTCCTGGAAATTAAATGCAAAATGCCCTCACAGCAGCATATACATTGTAGAAGCAGAAAAAAGCTTGTGAAAATAGAGAGGAAAAAGAATGTCTTTTTCTTTCACATCTAGCTTTTTATTTGTTCACAAGGATAGTAAATTTGGAGAGAGAAAGTGGAACTAACAGTTTTGAGACTGCTGACTTTTTCCTCGCGAGATGAGGCACCTACTTGGCTAGGCTGGTCACCATCTGCATCAGCCCCATAATCAAGAGAGGAGTCTGCCTTGCTAGTTCTTGAGCGGCATTTCCCAACTTTGTTCAACTTTCTACTTTCTCCTTCAGCAATATCGTTCTCCTTGGACACCATGTTACTTCTCTCTTGACTGCTTTCATCGTTAGTCAACCTAAGTTATGTACCAATCAACCATTTAAATGAAAAAACCACAGAAGATTATCGTCCATTACAGTAAAGCTGTTTTAGCATAGACTCCCAAATTCAATTTCAGCAGCCAAATTCCAAAATCAACAAAGCAGATATGTAGTAAGTAGAGAGAAGAGATAAACCTGGTGAAGTCGGGAGCTGGAGCGCAGAGGGGTTCGTGATCGTCTGTTTCAGGAGGGTCAACGTTAAGGTCAGCTAAAACAACGAGCTTGGAACTAGAAGGCTGAAGCCTCTTAGAACTAGCTTTAAGGGAGCCCTCTAGGGTTTCGACGAGTTCTGATTTTATTGTCGGTGGCGTTGGCGGTGACGGTGACGGTGGCGTCGGCTGCGCCATTAGTTGAAGGAGGATTTACCACTAGAAAGAGTTTGTTTGAGACTGGGAGGGGAAACTAGGGCATGGCTTGGTTAATCAATAGGGAGGGTATGATGCACCCGACCAGATGGTGTTAATAATAAATTAATATATAATTGATTAATTTCCGCTTTTTTAAAACCTTTTTTTTCCTGGTAACAGAAGATTATAAAATTGGTGCAAGAGTGAAAATACAGATTAGGGGGGTCTAACATACGGGATCCCACAGCTATCCGCTGTACAAAACAAAGCAGCCATGGGCGGACAACTATCAAAAATGCAAGAGGACGGAACTAAAGAAGTCCCCATTTTAGCCAACCGATCAGCCGCCATAATACTATTTATTACATTCACGCACAACATGCACCAGGCGGACATGATCAATTTACTGCATGAGATTCCTGCAATCCAAGGGCGTGCTCAGATAGTGGAGTGAATCAAAGTTTTTGGACAGAAGCAAAACTGCAGCTTTTGAGTCAGACTCAACAATAATGTCATGAAACCCTTTATCAACCGCAATTGCCGGCCATCCCTAATGGCCCAAAGCTCCGCAGTAAGTGAAGGAGCAATACCCACATTCCTTGAGTGACCGATAATCCAGTTCCCATGATGGTCTCTAAAGATGCCACCTGCCCCATAAGGACCAGGATTGCCTAAGGAGGAGCCATCCGTGTTCAGCTTCATGGTACCAGAGAGGGGTTTGGACCAAGGCAAGAGCCCTTGGTTCCGACAGGAAGAAGTGCCAGTGAAGGGACAGCTAGACAATTTTTAAGGCCCAAAATACTAAGATTTAGATACCAAAATCTAATAAAATTAATTAATTAATTAAGTATATAAATTTTTATAATTAATATATTACTTAAGAATTTTTATAATCAACATATTATTTAAGAATTTTTAAAGATATTTAAAAATTATCATAATTAGGGATTTCATTATAAAACTTATAAAACAAATATAATTAACATTAAAATTTAGGTATTTCTCTTCTTATTCAATATAATGACAAACCAATAAATCATGTCACTCTTTAACTCTCTATAAAGAGGTAGGCAAAGTTTTAAAAATCAGACTAGACTAGTCGATCAAACCGATCGAACCAGCACCCACAATACCATACACGAGTCGAATAAGTACTTGAAACCAATAAAGAGGTTGAACCATTTAAAACTAACAAAACCATTCAAACTGATGTATACCGTTAAACCATTCAACCGAAAGATTTAAAGTTCTTAGAAAATTTCCTTTAGCTTTGCGTCCTCCAAGGCTCAAACACTAGCCTTAAAAGGGATTTTCAGTCACTTCCACCACTAGGACATGACCTGTTGGATTGAGAAGGGCTTCAACTTTTATTTATTTTACTTTTAGGAAGAATAGAATTGCTTTCTACAACAATCCAACTTTAAAAATTAATATAATATTTATCTCAGTATTTTAAATATACAAATTAAAAATATAATAAATATAATTTTTTATAATTAATTTATATAATTATAATGAATTTATATAAAAAATTATAAAATTTGATCATCATATTTTGTGGATTGTTAGATGTGAATTGGATAAGTTTCGAGCCTTGTGCA